ATCTTCATTTTATCTCAGTGTGTTATATAACATGTGCTAAGATGTGAAAAGCTTTGGGAAGCTCTGCTTTTGAGCATCCAGTCTTTTCCTGTGTTGTCTCTCCATGGTGCACATGGAAAGACCCAGCAAATTCATTTTGTTATGTTCCCTGAGTCTCCTTGATGCAGCCACCTCACAGTGGCTGCCCCCAAAGCTCATTGCTCTGGAATCCCTGTGCTACTGCTTACTATTTAAGCCAGAAGCTTGGTGGTGTTGCCTGAGCAAACCCAGGCAGCCTTCCTTCCGTTGGTTCATCCTCCAAATGGCTGCTACAGCCAGTGTGCTGTGCCAATCCAAAGCCAGGAGCCAGGTGCTTCTCCTGGTCTCCCATGTGGGTGCAGGGCCCAAGCACCTGGGTCATCCTCCACTGCCTTCCTGGGCCTCAGCAGAGAGCTGGACTGGAAGAGGAGCAACTGGGACAGAATCCAGTGCCCCAACTGGGACTAGAACCCGGGGTGCCGGCGCCACAGCTGGAGGATTAGCCTAGTGAACAGTGGCACCAGCCCGGTCTGAACTTTTTACTTTGGGTTTGGGAACATATTTAGGCTAAATTCCGTGTGCTGATGTTAGAACACTACTTCATCAAGTTTGCATGAATCTGAGCTGCATTATAATCATCACATAATCATGAGATTTGCATCAAAGAGGAATTCTTCCTGAGGCGGTCTTAACACTTTCCAGTGGGTTATGGAATAAATATATTTTCTCCCTCTTTTTTACTATTTAATTATTTTCAAGCCAGTCACTGCCAGCTGAAATGAGTTTTGGATGTGTGTGGTGCATGCTTAGATTCCAAAGAAATGAGAAAGACAGGTGTTCTTTCATTACAATACTATCTTGAACTAGGAGTATTCTGAATAGAGAACAGCCTGCGAGGTAATTATTACCAGAAAAGAGCTGAGAGTGCAATGGTTCTTGCTTTCAATTTTTATTACTTTTGAAAAGCACTTGTTTGACTTTTAACTGGTTTATAAAATAACAATTGTATGTAGCAGGTTCCCTCATTTATCCACCTTGCTGTCGATGTTGCAGGGAGTTTTTGTTGAAAGAAATGCCTTTAAGTCCCTTAACATATCTTTTAAATAAACCAGTACCCTGTAATTAGGTGCATATACATTTTTAATAGTTACCTCTTCCTGTTGAATGGATCCCTTAATCATTATATAGTGCCCCTCTTTGTCTCTTAACAATTTTTGTGTTAAAGTTTATTTTGTCTGATATTAAGATGGCTATGCCAGCTTTTTGTTGTTGTTGTTGTTGTTGTTGTTGTTGGCATGGAGTATCTTTTTCCAACCTTTCACTTTCAGTCTGCATGCATCTTTGTTGGAAAGATGTGTTTCTTGTAAGCAGCAAATACATGGGTTTTGTTCCTTAATCCATTCAGCCAGTCTGTGTCTTTTAACTGGAGAGTTGAGGCCATTAACGTTCAATGTGACTATTGATAAGTAGTAACTTACAGTGACTTGATCAGTCTTTGTCCTGAATGTTGACGAACAACTTAATACTTTATCCCTTTTAATATTTTCTGTCCTACTTAATACTATTGGTTGAACTCTTCAGTTAACACACAATTATTCTTAGGTTTTAAATTTAACTGAAAAGTGATCTCTGTTAAATATAAGAGTGGGAATAAGAGAGGGAGGAGATGTACAATTTGGGACATGTTCAATTGGACTTCCCCAAATGGTAGAGTTAGAAACGTGCCAGAGGATTCCAGTTCAATCCCATCAAGGTGGCATGTACCAATGCCATCTCACTAGTCCAAGTGATCAATTTCAGTTCACAATTGATCATAATGAAAGGATTAAGAGTCAAAGGGATCACATAAACAAGACTAATGTCTGCTAATACTAACTGAAAGAATTAAAAAGGAGAGAACAATCCAACATGGGAAGCGGGATACACAGCGGACTCATAGACTGGCAGATGTCCTAAACAGCACTCTGGCCTCAGAATCAGCCCTTAAGGCATTCAGATCTGGCTGACGAGCCCATGAGAGTATTTTAGGCATGGAAAACCAAGACACTCTGGCAAAAACAAACAAACAAACAAAAACAAAAACAAACAAACAAAAAAAACCACACCTAAATGAAAAATCTCTGTGTCTCTGTGAGTGAGATCCCAGTAGAAAGAATGGGACATCAAAGAAGGAGGTACCTTTCTCTGAAGAGAGGAGAGAACTTCCACTTTGACTATGACCTTGTCTGAATAAGATCGAAGTCAGTGAACTCAAAAGGCTTCTATAGCCTTGGCAACTCATGACAAGAGCCTAGGGAGATTACTGACACCATAAACAAGAGTGTCAATTTGTTAAGTCAACAACATGAGTCACTGTGCACTTAATCCTCATGTAGGATCTCTGTCCTTAATGTGTTGTTCAATGTGAATTAATGCTATAAGTAGTAATCAAACAGTACTTTACACTTTATCTTCTGTGTGGGTGCAAACTGTTGAAATCTTTACTTAATATATACTAAATTGATCTTCTGTATATAAAGATAATTGAAAATGAATCTTGATGTGAATGGAAGGGGAGAGGGAGCGGGAGATGGGAGGGTTGTGGGTGGGAGGGAAGTTATGGGGGGGGGGAGCCATTGTAATCCATAAACTGTACTTTGGAAATTTATATTCATTAAATAAAAGTTAAAAAAATAAAAAAAAATTACTCAGACTAAATATGGAGTACTTCAGCATATGGAGTAGAGATAGGCTGCCCACTCCCATGTCCAGTGGATGTAGATCGGTCTTCTAGTTAAGACCTGATTCCCTGTTCATCTCCTCTGCCTTCACAAAAGTACATAACTCTATCTTCAGATTATTGTCCCTTGGCAAGCAAGACTCCATGTAGAGCAGGTACATGCTGGTAGCTATACAGCAGGTGCTAGCTCATTATCATCCAATGGTTGAGAGAATAAATGGACTATTTGAAGGAAACCATCTACCTCTGGACTAAATCTGGCCAAAAGATAATTGGGCCCCCTTAAGTTGATTGACATGGGGAATACAAGGTTACTTTACTCTGATCCAAAATGTGGGGTGGCAAGGCAGGGCTTTCTGGAGGAAGTGATGTCTAGAGCATAACCTGAAAGACAAGTAGGCATAGTAGTCGACAAAGAAAGAGTGAAAGAGAACCAAGAGGTGAGAGGAAGAGTGAGAAATGCCAAAGGATTTGAGAATGGTTTGTTGTTTGTGCTCACTCAGCACAGAGTGAGATCAGCAAGCAGGGAGGCAGGAGCCAGACTGTGCAGAAACCTGACAATTGTGTTACAGGTCCAAACCTTATCCTAATGGTAATGGGGAGCCACTGGAAAGTGTTATACAAAGAGGGTGACTTGGCCTTTAAAAAAAATTATTCTGGCTACACTGTCATGCTGGAGGGGTCAACCGGAAAAGATTAAGACTGGAAGTAGAAGATCACGTGGGAAGCTGTCCCAATAACCTAGGGAGGAGATTATAGCAGATGGAGAGCAATTATTCTGCCTGTTGTCAGGCACTCCACCTAGAATGCCTAGGCATACCCTGCAGTCACTGCCTCACTTGTTTCCATGGTCCCTGGTTGCTCCCGTCTTTAATATGCATTTATTTAAAAGACTTGCTCAGAATTGTTTAAAATGACCCCACAAGGTACAGATCATTACATTTTTTTCTTGGGAGAGTTTTTGAGAATTTTAAAACATTCCAGGGGCTGGCATTGTGGTGTAACAGGTTAAGCTGCTGTCTGCAACGCCAGCATCCTATATAGGCACCTGTTCAAGTCCTGGCTGCTCCACTTCCCATCTAGCTCCCTGATCATGAGCCTGGGAAAACAATGGAAGATGGCCCAAGTCTCTGAGCCCGTGCACTCTCATGAGAGACCCCAGTGAAGCTCCTGGCTCCTGGCTTCACCTGGCCCAGCCTCCGCCGTTGTGGCCATTTGGGGAGTGAACCAGCAAATGGAAGACCTCTCTCTCTCTCTCTCTCTCTCTCTCTCTCTCTGCCTCTGCCTCTCCCTCTCTGTAACTCTGATTTTCAAATACAAATAAATAAATCTTTTTTAAAAATCCACTTTTTCTTTTTTTGTCAAATTGGGGCTTACTTGTATTCAGTACACTCAAAATAAAGCTCCATATTTTGCCAGATTAAGAGGCATCTCTGATTCCTGTCTCCCTTGTGACTCCTGCCTGCGAAGTGTCTGACAATCTTTCCACATATCCACCTGCTGCCCTCACAGTTCCACTTACACATCTTTCCCTCCAAACATCCTCTAATGATTTTCCTGTCTTCAGTGTTGTGCTTTCTCTGTATTTCTCCCACCGCAGCCAGAGTGATCCTATTAATTGTAAAATGATTATGTGCCCCTACTGCCAACCTTAAATGTCTAAAATGACTCTGTTTTCCGTGTGATAAGAAGCAGGCCCCTACTGCTTTCCTCTTACATTCTCTGCTAAAGATTTTCTGACCTCTGATCTCTGTTTTCTTTGTAAAAATTTATTGTTTGTTTATTTTTAATTAAAAAGCAGAGTCAGACAGACTGACAGAGATCTTCCATCTGCTAGTTCACTCCCTAAATGCCTACAACAGCCAAGGGTATGCCAGGCTGCAGCCAAGAACTCAGGACTCTGGGCCAGTGCTGTAGCTTAGTGGGTTTAGCCACTGTCTGTGACACCAGCAGCCCATGTGGGCACCAGTTTGAGTACCAGCTGCTCCACTTCAGATACAGCTCCCTGTGATCCCTGCTAATGCGTCTGGGAAAGCAGCAGAAGATGGCCCAAGTCCTTGTATCCTTGCACCCATATGGGAGACCTGGAGGAAGCTGTTGGCTTTGACCTGGCCTGCCCTGGCCATTGCGGCCAAGTGGGGAGTGAACCAGCAGATGGAGGATATCTCTCTCTCTGTCTGTCTGTCTGTCTGTCTCTCTCTCTAGCTCTGCTTTTCATATAAAATAAGGAAATCTTTAAACAAAACAAAATGCAGAACTCAATTTAAGTCAATCATCTGCTACCTGACAGAGTGCATTTAGCATGAAGCTGGGATTGGGAGAGGAGCCTAGGCTTGAACCCAGGCCTCCAATATGGGAGGCAGGCATCCCAAGCAGTTTTCACCACTACACCCATGACCTTTTTTTTTTTTTTAATATAGAATGCAAGCATCTCAACTGCTGGGTCAAACACCAGCCCCAGCAGTACATATTTTCTTTCTTCGTTTTCTTTATTTAAATTCACTTGAAAGGCAAGGAGATAGAGAGACCTACCATCTGCTGGTTCACTTCCTGAATACCCAGCACAGCTGGAGCTGAGTCAGGCTGAAGCCAAGAGCCAAGAACTCCATCTAGATCTCCTGATGGGTGGCAGGGACCCGACTACTTCAGGCATCATGTGTTCCTCCCAAGGTGTGCATTAGCAGGAAGCTGGAACCAGAACAGAGTTAGAACTTGAACCCAGGCACTCCAGTGTGGGATGTGGGCATTGTAACCACTAGGCCCAGATAATATTTTCTGTTCCCCTTTCTCAATATCTTAATGAAACTCCAATTACATGTATGTCAGGCAGCCAGATATAAATCATAAATCCCTGAGGTTCTGTTTGTTTGTTTCCATTCTCTTTCACTGTGTTTCATTTTTGAATTATTTCTGTTGTTATTTCTTAACATTAATATTTTTCCTTCTGCAGTATCTAGTCTGATATTCCATTCAGCATGTTGTTAATATCATATAGTATTTTTAAATCTACAATTCCATTTTTAAAATATCTTCCATTTCTGGCATCATTTTATTAATGTTTTTATTTATTTCTGTAAATAAAGAAACTTGTAGCTGTCTTAAGGCTTTTGCTTGATAATTCTATCTTCTCTATCACCCGTGGGTCTCTTTCCATTGATTTATCTAATAGAGGTCATGTGTTTCTGCTTCTTTTCACAGATGACAATTTTTTAAAAAAGAGCCAGCATTGTGGTCTAGTAAGTTAAGCCTCCATCTGCAGTGCCAGCATCCCATGTGAGCACTGGTTCAAATCCCAGCTGCTCCACTTCCAATCCAGCTCTCTGCTAATGTGCCTGAGAAAGCAGCAGAAGGTGGCCCAGATCCTTAGGCCCCCGCACCCATGTGGGAGACCTGGATGAAGCTCCTGGATCTTGGCTTCAGCCTGGCCCAGCCCTGGCTATTGCAGCCATCTGAGGAATGAACCAGTGGATGGAAAAAATCTCTCTCTCTCTCTCTCTCTGTCTCTTTCTTTCTTTCTCTCTCTGTATTTCTGCTTTTCAAATAAAGAAATTTTCCCCCCTGATTCCCAAGCTTAGCTTGCCGTCCAGAAGGTCCATTCCTCTCCCCATGACTGGAGTCCAAAACATATTAACACACACAAAGCAGTGATTCTGGGTGAGGCTGCAGAACCTCCGCCAGATAGTTGATCCCATGATCCAGACTTGGAACAGACCAGGTTGTGCCAAAGGGTCACACTATTGCCTCCCATTCAGCTTTACAAATCACAAACCAGATACCTTACTCTCTCTGCTACAGACTCCGATGTGCCTCTCTTTGTTGGTCTGAAACTTGGAAATGAAGAGTGTTTTCTAGAGCACTTTCCAGCCTCCAAGACCTAAAATGTAAATCAGACATTTCTGTAAGGAATGAGACGTAACATCTTTGACCCATCCATATGACTAAAATTTAAATTTCACTTTAAAACATGAAAATAATGATGTGCCTGTTTCTGAACCATTGGAATTGAAAATCGCACATGGATGTGCTCCATCGTTTCACATGCTTAATTGCTCATTAAGATGGTTGCCTTGGCAACTGGTACATCAAATCATAGCTGTTACAACTCTGACCTACAGAGAACCTTCTAAAAGTTATCCAATAGCATTAAGTAAAAAGCAATACCTTTATAAGCTACTAAAATTTTTATATGTCAAATAAAAATATCCATCTCAAGTATGAAATTCTCAAAACTATAGACATGAAATGCATAATATGTAATTATCTTTTATTACCGCTGAGTGGGTTTCTCTTACAAATTATCCAGATTTTTGATAGAATCATTTCTGAACCGTAAGAAAGAGAATACTGGGTAACATCAATATGTGAAATTTTTAACCTCTATCCATTTATTCTCAACGGGAAAATTCCAGGGCGGGCATTGGTCACAGCGTTTGGGATGGCTACTTGGAATGCCTGCATCTCATATCAGAGTGCCTGGCTTCAACTTCCAGATTTTTTCATTCCAGCTTCCTGTTAATGTGCACCCTGGAAGGAAGAAATGATGGCCCAAATACTTGGGTCCCTGCCATCCATATGGGTGTCCTAGAATGGGTTTCTGGCTCCTGGAGTCAGCCTGGCCCAGCCCTGACTGTTCCAAGCACTCAGGGACTAAACCAACAGATGAGAGATCTCATTCTCTCTCTCTCTCTCTCTCTCTCTCTCTCCTTAACTAATTTCTAGAATTCCATTTCAGTAAATATTTTATCATACTTAGATTCTGAGATATAAAACTGAGTAAGACATGGCCTGGAGAGGCGATACTCTGGTGCAACAGGTAAAGCTGCCACCTGCGGTGCCAGCATCACATACGGGCCCTGGTTCGAGTCCCAGCTGTTCCACTTATGATCCAGCTCCCTGCTAATGGCCTGCGAAAGCAGCAGAAGATGGCGCTAGTGCCTGGGCCCCTGCCACACACATGGGAAACACAGATGAAGCTCCTGGCTCCTGGCTTCAGATCTGGCTCCTGGTTTCAGGAGTGCTTAGATTCTACTTTGTGTAACTCACTGAGAAAGTACTACTACCTTAACGTTCTCAACTATGTTTATAAGCCGTGGCTAATTAATTGACATGATAATAAGGCAGACCTACTTATTATGGTCATTTTATGCATGTGAAAGCAGTTAAATAAAGAGAGGATAAATGGAGAGAAAATTAGGCAATATGAATAAGACCACAGGTGTGGAAGCTACTTTGCTCAAGTTAGAAGTCCCAGGAAGATTCCTGAACTTCTCTTTGCTTCATTTTCCCACTTTAAAATGAAGATGGGGCAGACATTTAGGCCAGCTGTTAAGACACCTGTGTTCCATGTTAGAGTACTTGGGCTCGACACCTGGCTCTGGTTCCCAAATCCAGATTCCTATTAATGCAGATACCGGGAGACAGCAGTGAAAGCTAAAGTAAGCAGGGTCCCTGCCACTAGTGAAGACGTAGATTGAATTCATGGCTCATGGCTTTGACCTCACTCATCACTGGCCTTTGTAGGCATTTGGGGAGTGAACCAGTGGATGGGAGGGCTCTCTCACTCCACCCCCCTCTCATAAGCAAAACTTTAAGAATAATACAGGGGCCAGCACTGTGGAGTGGTGGGTAAAGCCGCCACCTGCAGTGCCAGCATCCCATGTGGGCGCTGTTTCAAGTCCCAGCTGCTCCACTTCCCATCCAGCTCTCTGTTATAGCCTGGAGAAGCAGAAGTGGCCCAAGTCCTTGGACCCTGCACCCATGTGGGAGACCTGGAAGAAGCTCCAGGTTCCTGGCTTCAGATCGGCGCAGCTCTGGCCGTGGCAGCCAGTTGCAGAGTGAACCAGCAGATACAAGACCTCTCTCTCTCTCTCTCTCTCTCTCTCTCTCTCCTTCTCTCCCTCTCTGTGTAACTCTGACTTTCAAATAAATAAATAAATCTTTAAAGAAAAAAAAATAATAATACAAAATGAAGGCAATCTTAGTAGCTCTGAAGTGGATGGCTATGGGAACTAAACAAGAGAATACCGAGTAGAGGATGCCTCTGAAACTTAGATGCACATACATCTAAGTTTTTATCTCTTTTTTTATACTTTTATCTTTTTTTAAAGATATATCTATTTATTTGAAAGGTAGAGTTACAGAGCCGGGGTCGGGGAGCTGGAGAGAGAGAGAGATCTTCCAACTGCTGGTTCACTTCCCAGATAGCCACAATGGCCGAGGTTGGGCCAGGCTGAAGCCAGGAGCCAGGAGTTTCCTCTGGGTCTCCCACATGAGTGCAGGGGCCTAAGGACTCGGGCCATCTTCCGTTGCTTTCCCAGGTGCATTAGCAGGGAGCTGGATGGGAAGTGGAGCATCTGGGACTCACACCGGTGCCCATATGGGATGCCAGTGCTACAGGCCTTGACTTAACTTGCTGAGCCTCAGCGCAGGCCCCTGCGTATCTCTTTCAAATACAGATTCTGCACCATTGGGTCTGGGGTGCCCCTGAGGTTCTGCATTCCCAACAAGCTTCCAGTGTTGCTGCTGCGATCCAGAAACTGCTCTCTCATGTCGAGGATGGAAGCATTTCAAACACTAGTGGTTAAAAGGCCCATGACCTACGTCAGAGTGCCTGGGTTCAGTTCCTGGCTCCGGCTCCTGATTCCAGCTTCCTACTAACACAGACACTGGGAGACAGCTGGAGGATTCAGGTATTTGTGTTCCTATCACCCACATTCTTGGCTCCTGGCCTTGGCCCCAGCCCAACCCTAACCATTGTAGGTATTTGGATACTTAACCAGTAGATGGGAATAAGCTCACGCGCGCTCTCTCTCTCTCTCTCTCTCTGCCTCTCAAATAAATAAATACTTTAAAAAAAAAAGAGCAATGCCTATTACACAATGTGCACTGAATAAATTTAACTATCATTATACTTTCACATGGTTGATCTGGCAAGAAAACTAGACAAAGCAAAGTTGGTACAGACATTTGGTGCAGCCGTTAAAATGTCTTTTGGGATGCCTGGATCCCATATGGGAGTGTCTGGGTTCAAGTTGCAGTTCAGTTTCTGGCTTCCTGCTAATGCATGCCCTGGGAGAAGTAGTTGATAGTTCAAGTGCTTGAATCCCTACCACCCATCCTACTACCCATGTGGGAAACCTGGGTTGAGTTTTGGGTTCCTGGCTTTGGCCTGGCCCAATCCCAGCTATTGTAGGTATGTGGGGAGTGAACCAACAGATGGACAATCTCTCTCTGTCTCTCTCTGCATTTCTCTACCAAATATTTCCTGATAACACTTGAATACTTGAATAAAATTCTACTACATTCTGAGTTTGTGATGATGAATGTGGATACGGATGTTTTTTATCTTTAAATAATTAATTAATTTTGTATTTATTTGCAAGGCAGAGAGAGAGAGAGAGAGTTCTCATCTGGTGGTTCATTTTTCAAATACAAGCAATAGCTGGGGCTGCCAGGCTGGAGTTAGGAGTTGGGAACTCAATCTAGATATCCCATGTGTGTGTCAGGGACCCAACCATCTGAGCCATCATGGCTGCCTTCCAGGGGACACATAAGCAGGAAGCTGGAATCAGCACTCAGCCAGGACGTTGAACCCAGGCACCCTAATAGGGGATGTGGGCATGCCAAGTGGTGTCTTAACTGCTGTGCCACATACTTGCCTGTGGCTTTCATTTTTAGAAGCACTCCACAGCAGTTTGCTGCATTGCCTTTTATGTTTTTAAGCCACACCACAGTACCTAACACCTTGTGCACAGTAGGCACTCAATAAACACTTGTCGGATAAAAGATTGTCCAGACTGTCCTAAATAAATCATCCTTCTAGGATTTAACTGTGCCGTTGGAATCCGTTTTTGTTTTAATTCAGTGGCATGTGTGCCAAATCACTATGTCAAGAATGTGGCACTTGTGTTCTAAAATGCCAAGTATGTTATTCTAATCTAATTGTGCAAGGCAGACTGTAACCCAACTGCGACGCTGCCTTCTCCCCTGTGCCCTCCGCCCAGACTTTACATGCTCACCGCGCCCTCTACTGCTCAGCCACCGTCTCTGCTACTAAACCCAAGCTGGAGACCGGCAAAATCGGAACTCAGACAACTGCAGTCACTTACTACACAAATGTAGCTCGATCTGCCTTGGCAGGAGGAGGTGGCGGTACAGTAGCTGCTGTCCACGCTGGAAGGGGGTGATCTCTAGGTCAGCTGCAGGGCAGCCCCCAGAGGAGGGGCCGGGATCCCCAGGGAGGAAAGAAAAAAATGATTGCAATTGACAGGCTCTTTCGTTCCCTCCCAAGCACTTCCTCCACATCCCCTCTTCCTTCAGGCCAGCCTGATCGTCACCCTTCCTCCCCTTCCTCTTCAAGGTTGTTGCATCATCAGCCCTTTCCATCTCCCACTCGTTCCACCTCCCAGACCATGACTCTCCTTTGGAGATTCTCCTTTGGAGAAATCTGAAAACACAAGCCCTCAGGGTAAAGCCCCTTTGCTGGGGCAGGAATTTGGCGTTCCAGCTAGGCTTCTGCGTGCCGGGGTTCCATAGCAGGCTCCAGCTCCTGACTCCAGCTTCCTGTTGATGTGGCCACTGGGAGACGGCTGTGATGGCTCAAGCAGCCAGGTTCCTGCCACCCATGTGGGAGACCCGGATGGAGCTCTCAACCCCGGCTTCAGGCATTTAGGGAGTGAACCAGTGGATGGGAGCTCTCTATCTGTTTCATCATCTTCTGTCTCTCAAGTAAATAATACACACACACTCACACTCACACACACACACACACACACAAGCTTGCTCATAAGCAAGAACAGCTCTCCTTTCACTGTGATTAGAGCCACATGCTTGCATGCTTGTAGCATCCCTGTAACGTCTGCTTCCAGTGCTTTTCAATACAGAGTTACGCAACCATCACTGTAATCTGTATTTCATTTAGAGTTAGAGCATTTTGATTAAATTTTAGATTAATCTAATTGAGCTAGGTTTAATGTAATTCCGAAGGCTTAAACCTTAATTTAATTTAGACCATTTTCATCAGCCCAGCAAGAGATTCTACACCCATTAGTATTCACTGGCAGCCATTAAACTCCTCACAGTTTATAAATTTGCCTATGACACACATTTCATATAAATGAAATCATACAATAGGCATCTTTATGAATGGCTCATTGTATTCCTGTGTTTTCCAGGGGTAGTACATATCAGTACCTTGTTCCTTTTTCTTGCTGAATAATATTTCACTGCGAGGGCATACTGTAGTGACTTATCCATTCACTAGTCAGTGGATATTTGGGTTGTTTCCACTTCTTGGCTATAGTTAGTAATGCTGCTCTGAACATTCACACATAAGTGTTCATGTGAATCTATGTTTTCACTTCGCTAGGAGTGGAATTGCCAGATCATGTGATAAGGGGACTTCATGACCCACCTCCGTGTAGGGATAAAGAAAGGCCAGCAAGGGAAAATATTGTTATCCTGCTGACTGCTAAATAATGTATATTAGGTTTATGATTAAGAAGTTTCAAAGATGATGATTTAGCCTTGATTCTTCAACACCAAAAGCCCAGATCTTGTCCCAAGAAATTTTTCTCTTACAGTATTTTCCCCCCGGGACTCTGATCTCCCCCCCCACCCCTGCCCCGGTCTTTTTTGACAGTTTTATATGTGAGTACCAACATAAGTGTTTTCGCATTCCCTTCAAGCATAATTTTCTGACCCACTACTTAGAGTTCTTCCTACTTGCAATGTCATGGCTCCTAAGGGCTTGCTCTGCGAGTCCCATATCTATTCTCTGATTTGTGAGGTTAGCTTTTCTGAGGCCATCTTATCCACTCTGGCAACAATCAAGGGGGTCTTGAGTATTTGCTCTCCACTTAGCAGAAGCAAGGACAGCAGAAGAGATGACCAGGGGGCCCAGCCTGGAGGAGTGTAGAATCCAGCTGGGAAGAAAGAACAAAACTGCCACTGAAAATCTCACATGTGTCCAGATGTCTTCGGCAATTCGTTGCCTAGAGAACAGGGACAGCTACTGTTTCCCTGTCATGGCAAACAAAGACTGTGAACATATGTATGTGGACACTAGGATAAAAAAAAAAGGAGCCTTGTAAGGAGAAGCCCCTGGCCTGGGGTACCCAGGCACCTGCCACGTCCCTCCCGCCATCACTCTAGCTTATAACCCACGGGGCACCCCAGTGCAGCAACACACTTGTGGACATCTCCAACCCATGGGGTCAATTCAGACTCTTCTGCATGGCATTCAAGACCCTCAACAAAGCAGACATGATTCACTTGTCCACCATACACCTCAAATTACCTGTCAGCTCACTCTCTTCACAATGTTCTGGCTATACCCCCTCGCCTGTACACCTTTCCCCAAATGCATCCACAGTCCCTGTTTACTGACTGGTTGATTCTCATCCCCACACTTTCCCACAATTCATAGCAATCCCTCAAGTCCCCAGCAAGCCCATAAGGCCATGTCTGTCCCTATACAGCCACCTCGGAGCACTCCAGCCCACAGGGCTTGCTTCCTTCTCCGCAGGGCCCCGAGTTTCAATATGGAGCCAGCAAATGTGATTACAGCAGTACACGGCCTAGTAGTTATTAAGTGTACAATGGTGGTCTGCTCAGCTACAGCCTGGACCAGCTCCCCTGGGGTAGGTATGGCACCCCCCAGGGGGATGTTCCCAGGGCACACAGGAATGCTGGGTAAGAGTACAGAGGAAGGGACACAGGCCCAGAAGGCTGATTAACGCAATGCTATCACACGCTCACACAATCTGCTTTTCCTCTGTTACCTGTTACTTCAGGGCTTAGGTATTTGTGTGGTTTCTCCAAACCTTAATGACAAACAAAAACACCACCTTGGAGCAGCAACATAAATTAGAGACTGTTCCGGACTGAGTCAGGATGTCAAGGCCACTGTGAACCCACGGAAGGCCAGGGCAGAGCACAGATGAATAGGCCCCTCTGCCTGCTCTACAGTAGCCGGATGTCTGGGCAAGGGGTCAGCTCAGGAGATGAGAAGAGGGGATGGGGGAGGAGCCAGAACTCAAAGGGATTGTCAGGCAGGGGTTGATATCACATTTGACTGTGGCCCTATAAATCACTTTTCTGTTACTGGTAGATTAATACTCACACGTGATTCTGCATTTTTTTTAAAGATTTATTTTATTTATTTGAAAAGCAGAGTTACAGAGAGGCAGAGGCAGAGAGAGAAAGAGATCCTCCATCCGCTGGTTCACTCCCCAAATGGCTACAATGGCCAGAGCTACGTCGATCCAAAGCCAGGAGCCAGGAGCTTCCCCTGGATCTTCCACGTGGGTGCAGAGGCCCAAGGACTTGGGCCGTCTTCCACTGCTTTCCCAGGCCATAGCAGAGAGCTGGATTGGAAATGGAGCAGCCAGGACTTGAACTGTCGCCCATATGGGATGCCGGCACTGCAGGTGGTAGCTTTACCCACTACACCACGGCACCAACCCTCTTTTTACTTTAATAAAGATATATTTATTTATTGGAAAGGCAGAGTTACAGAGAGGCGGGGAGGGGGTCTTCCATCTGCTGGTTCACTCCCCAACTGGCCACAATAGCAGGAGCTGCACTGATCCGCAAACAGGAGCCAGGAGCCTCCTCCAGGTCTCCTACACAAGTGCAGGGCCTAAGGACTTGGGCCATCTCCCACTGCTTTCCCAGGCCACAGCAGAGAGCTGGATCAGAAATGGAGCAGCCAGGAGTTGTACCGGTGCCCATATGGGATTCCAGCACTGCAGGCAGCGGCTTTACCTGCTACACCACAGAGCCAGCCCCATGATTCTGCATTTTAATACCATTTCAAGTTGCTTAAAACAAAAAACACAGGCCAACACTGTGGCACAGCTGGTTAAAGCCCTGGCCTGAAAAACCGCCATCCCGTATGGGTGCCGGTTCGGGTTCCGGCTGCTCCTCTTCCGATCCAGCTTTCTGCTATGGCCTGGGAAAGCAGTAGGAGATGGCCCAAATCCATGGGCCCCTGCACCCACACGGGAGACCCGGAAGAAGCTCCTGGCTTCGGATTGGCTCAGCTCCGGCCATTGCGGCCATTTGGAGAGTGAACCAGCGGATGGAAGACCTCTCTCTCTCTCTCTCTCTCTCTCTTTCCCTCTCTCTCTGCCTCTCCTTGTCTCTGTGTGTAACTCTGACTTTCAAATAAATAAATACAACAACAAAAAATTTTAAAGCGGGTAGGGGGCACTAGAAACGCTGGAAGAGATTCTTTGATAAGCTGCTTGGAGAGGAGGTGGCGTCGCTGCCATGGGACATTTGCATAAGGACAGGTGAGCACCAGGCTGCCAGTCCTGCGCCTGCAGTGCAAGAAGAGAATGGACGTCTTACCTCAAAGGAGCGTCTGCTCTCTGCCGACAGGGCGGCTCCTTCCCAGCGCTCCCAGCACTCACACACACACCAAACCTCTGGGTGCCCGCGTGGTGAATAATTAAGCTGATTATCAATTGTGCCAAGGTGGCCGCACAGCCTAACCTGTCTGTGGTAGTCCTCCTCCAAGGTTTCCTGCACCCAGCCAGGCTGTGCCTCACCCGGGAACTGCAGGAGCCGCGCCGTATGCACAGTGCCCCCTTCTGGCCCTGCTCAGAAGCCAGCAGCTCACAGGTGCCGCCCTGCTGGCCCCTGGACCAGCCTGTGAGGACAGCTGCAGCCATTGTTACAAGAGAGACCTGCAGGGAGTTGGGTTGAGTTTCCCTCTGGCTCTCTTTGCCTTCTTCCTCCATATGGGGTTTCAAGGTGGGAGTGAGTCTTAAGGGCACTGAATGGTGCCATTGGAGGGAAGCTTAAGACTGTGGAGGGGAAGCTACAGCCAGACACAGGGGAAGAGAGAGGGAGAAAAGGAACTAGCCTATCATTAAAAATCCACATGTAGGGGCCAGCACCATGGCCTTTGTGTGTAAAGCTGCCTCTGTGTCACAAGCATCCCATGTGCATGCCAGTTCGAGTCCTGGCTGCTCCACTTCCGTTCCAGCTCCCTGCTAATGGCCTGGGAAAAGCAGCAGAGGATGGCCTGAGTTCTTGGGCTCCTGCCACCCATGTGGGAGACCTGGAAGAATCTCTGGGCTCCAGGCTTCCTTGCAGCCATCTAGGGAGTGAACCAGCCAATGGAAGACTTCCCTCCCTCTCTCTGTTTCTCTTCCTCTCTTTGTAACTCTGACTTTCAAATAAATAAATCTGAAAAAAAAATCTTTCTACAGGATTACTGGGGCCCTTCCAGGACTGCACATGTTGCCAGGGAGG